TTATCCATTCATGTGGTTATGGACATTTGGGTCGTTTGCACATTTTGGCAATTGTGAACAATGCTGCCACGGACATTTGCATACAAGTGTTTGTGTGGACATTTCTCTTGGGTAAATACTTAAGAGTGGGATTGTGGAGTCCTATGAGGAGTGGATATTATAGCCAAACTCTTTGCCACCATGGCTGCACCATTTTGCATTCCCATCAGCAGTGTGCAAAGGATCCATTTCCAATGTGGGTTGTTCTACATCTCTGCCAACGCTTGGATTTTCTGGCTTGCTTTCTTAATAGTCACACGCACAGGTGTGAAGTGGTGTCTCCTTCTGGTCATGATTTGCATTGCCCTGATGTTGACTGTCTCTTTTATATGCTTTTTGGCCATTTTATATCTTTCTGTTGAGAAACGTCTGTTCCAGTTCTTCGCCCATGTCTGGAATGGGCTGTTCTGTTGCTGAGTTACAGGAGTTGCTCTGATACGCTGCATGTACTTTGAAGCACTTACATTCCGTTCTGTTCTACACCTGCACAGTTTTGCGTATTTTCACGCAGAGAGTGTACTTCTCTTCCTGGTGGTGTTTTTATATCCATTTTAGGAGCACTGCTGCCTCTTTCCTCTGCCATATCCTTTGTTGTTTTTTCCAAAGGATATGATGGGAGTTTCAGGTTTATACCACCGTCACCACCTCGCCTGCCCGAAGAAACATTTTGGTTATCTTCTCAAACAACTACACATCATGTCTACCCCATTTTTATTTCTCTCTTTCTTTAAGTGCCTACTGTGTGCCATACCCAAGAACTTCATTGTGCCCAAGACAGAACAAACCCTTGTCACGCCTGTGGCAAGAGGTCTAAAAGCTGCTCTGTGATCATCAGCGGTTGCTTTGTGATCTCTGTTTCAGTGGAAAGACATTGGCCAGGGGTGCCTGGCGGGCTCAGTTGGAAGAGCATGCAACTCTTGATCTCAAGGTCATGAGTTCGAGTCTCACGTTAGGAGTGGAGCCTACTTAAAAGAAAAAGATACGAGCAGAAGAAAACAAGCTGGCAAGATTTCAATTTCTTTTAAGCAAATTATATACAATAAAAAATTGTGGGTTTTCATGACTCCATAAATTTATAGCGTAATGGAAAGACCAGATGGAATTACCCTTTGGGCCCCTCTATTCCAGCACCATCCTGCCCACGCATCTCTTTGCTTAGGTCATTTGGGTTATTTTCCCTAAACAAATGTTTGCAATCCCTCTTGAATGTTGTAATACACTTCAGACTTCTAAGGGAGTTTATATAGAAGATGTGAATACTTTATGGCATGTTTCTCTGAGAACATTCAGGTTCACAGTAGGATCTCGGCATTCTCCACAATATACCCAGTGTCCTCAAATCCAGCCGGTCCATCGGCCTCCATTCCACATTGTACAGGGACGGGCGTCATTTAGATCATCCACTGCTGGGGAGAGTAAGGTTGAAGCGGTGCTGTCATGCAATTTTAAACACTGCATATACTTCACTTTAGCCGTTGTAATCTTGAACAGGAGGAGCAATTCCTATTTCTCCTTTTCCTATCATTTTGTTTTTGTTTTTATTTCCTCACTGTAAAGAGAAAGGAGGAAGGACGGGAAGAAGGAAGGGAGGATGGGAGGGAAGAAAACTAGTCCATCTCCAGTTACACCACACGGGCTCCATGGAGCCTGCTGCATTGGGACAGTGGGTTTTATACTATCTCAAGGATCTCTACGTAGTGTAGACATTTTTCTTCAAATACATGGCCATTTTAAAATTTTATTTAAAAAAAAAGATTTTATTTGAGAGAGAGCGAGGGAGAGAGAATCTCAAGCAGATTCTGTGCTGAGCACAGAGCCCAACTTGGGGCTTGATCTCACGACCCTGAGATCATGACCTGAGCCGAAATCAAGAGTCCGGTGCTTAACCAACTGAGCCATCCTGGTGCTCCACGTGGCCTTTTTTTTTAAAGAATAAACTACATTAGGAACAGTGGGAAAATAATCACTTTATAAATTGGATTCTGTAAGCTTGGAAGGTAAATTTGAAGAATCCTCTCAGAAAATAGAGGAAAAGACACAGAATGGCAGAGTGAGATTATCAGGGATATGAAAGCCAGACTTCAAGAATAATGTTATGTTAATGAATATGTTAATGAAGAAAGCAGAAAAAAACCTAGAACTGAGACTTTCCCTTTTGTGTGTGTGTCCAAGACGAAAACAATGGAAAAACCAATTGCTAGATACGGGGGGGGGGAGTGGGGGGGTGGAGAAATAGAAAGACTTAAAGATACAGGAAACTGGGGTGGAGGAGGTGAGATTTATATAGAAGTCAAAGTAGAGAAATGAAAGTTACCTGCAAGGGAAGAAGAAGTTCAAATTGGCCTCAGGTTTCTTCAGAAGACCAAGTACAGGAGGCTGTGGAATTACTGGGAGGGCACTGATATAAACTAGTGAGAATGTGAAAAAGGAACAAAAATACCAAGACCCAAAGAGAAACCTAAGGAAGCGGTCACAGACATGAACAATTAAAAAAAAAAAAGGTTAAAATAGATTTACTTATAAATAAATATAGATGATAAAACTCGAGGAAATTGCCAAAATTTGTAGCTGAGAAAGTGGAATATGGAAGTATTAAAAGTGGATACTGGTGGTCATGGCCTATTAGCTCATACTGTAAACATTTTAAATGGGACAAAGTAGAATAAATTTGTGTTTGGCTTAATGTATAAAGGAAGTCAGAGGAAAAGTTAATTCTTGATTTTTACCATCAGAAAAATGGGGCATAAAGAGTATTTTTAAAAACATAATTGCCAGGACTATTTAAAAAGATATACTTCATAGTTGAAAAACATATTCAAAATGTTCTTAACATCCTCATCTTTGACCTTTCGGTTAACGCTCAGCACAGCTGTCAAGAGTGATCATTTAGAAATGGACATCAGAGGCTGGACAGGGGAGGCCCCGGGGCTCTGAGGCCTCTGTCCCGCCCATCCCTGGGATGCTGTGGGAGGCTCTTGGTCTTGTTGCAAGAAGGCATTCAAGGAGAGACGGGACACGCAGTTGAGTGGTGTTAAGTGGGAAATCTTATTCAAGTGAGAGTACGCTCTCCAGACGTGGGAACAGATGAGCTCAAGGGGAAGCTGGGTTCGGGTCTCTACATCTTTTACTGACAGTTCTTAGCTAGGGAGTGGAATATATATTACTTGGGGAGGGGCTTCTCGAAGCCTTTTCTCCTTTACCTGATCAGGGTCTCCAGCCTTCTTTGTCTTGGGCCTGTCTGGCTTGATCCGGCTTTTTGTGGCTTTGTTTTGGGAGCGCTGTCAGGACAGGTTTCTAACTTCCCCCTGTAGCTGACCCTGAGTCCCCATTTGCTGGCCTCCAGCATCCTATTAACACCTAGCTAACTGCCTACTCCTACATCTCCACTGCTCAGAGCATTCTCTTTCAGAGTAAGATCCACTGACCGTGACCAATAAGAGCCTGCACATCCTAGTCCTCTTGCCTCTGATCTCGCACATACTTCTTTCTGCTTCGGCAACAGTCTTAATGTGTCTTCAACAGGCCAGGCGTGCCCCCACCTCCGGGCATCTGCTTTTCAGCCTGCCGGAAAGCCTTCCCACAGATCCTTAACCGGGCTCGCTCTCCATCTCTTTGCAGATCTTTCTTCAATGTCACCTTCTCAGTCAGACATTTCTTAACCACTTTGTATAACATTGCAGTACCGCCCCCACTAGAGTTGCTGTTGCCCCTTTCTTGTCCTCATTAGCGCCCATCACTACCTAAAAACATACTTATCATCTTTCTTCTCTCTCCTCCCGGAGAATTTAAGCTGCACGAATGCAGAGGTTTTGAGAGTTTTGTTCAACTGGTGTATTTCCAGCATCTAGAACAATGCCAGGAGCAAGAGAGGTGTTGAATATTTTGTTGTTGTTGAATGAATAATGGAATCTTATGCAGCAATGATAATGAATGAACTTTGAATGTATCAAGATAGATGAATCTAAAAGTTGTTAAAGATAACAGGCTCAAAAATGGATTTCTCAGGCTAAGTTGCCCCTTCACCAAACAAAGACTTACTTAGAGTTTCAGCTCTTCCAGAAATGGAATCTTAAACCAGCCAACCAGGAGCCCCGTGATCGTCATTAGTTAAGTAATCTGGCTGATAAATCTTTGCCATCTTCTGTAGGGAAACTAACCTTGTAATAACCAATCCACTTTTGCCAAGTATAACTTCCTTGTTCCTGCTCCCTTCTGCCTGTAAGAGGCTTGCACGTGGTACTTCTGGGAGCTCCTTCCTACCTGCTAGATGGGATACTGCCTGATTCATGAAGTCACTGAATAAAGCCAGTAAGGTCTTTAAAACATATTCAGTTGATTTTTTTTTTTTCAAACATCGTTCATGTTGAGCATGTCACAGGAGAACATACAGCAGATTCCATTTATATAAAGATCCAAAACCTTGCAAAAAAAAAAAGCCACACTTACTGTGGAATACGATACCATCAAGCTAAGCAAGTCAAATGCTTAGCACAATTTAGACAAATGACAGGGGAGCATTGTGGACAGAGCTTCAGAAGTTCTGGCCAAATATCTTTTTCAGCAAAGTGTTGGGTGTGTGGGTATTGGTTTCTTTCTTAAACTGTACCTATGCATACATCACCTTCTGGGCATGGTACGCATTAAAATACAAATAATCACAACTAGCTGGTGGGGGCTGTGGCGCACGGATCCTCCTACAGGCGTCTAAATTCAGGTTTTGTTTTTCCCAAATCACCTTGCCTGCCTAGCCCAACGAGCCCCCGGGCGGATGCAGGCAGCGGGCACTGGCAGGAGACCACCCGCCCTACTGGGCTCGCCCGCGCCCTCGCGTTACCGCGGACCTCGCGGGGACGGGCAGCGGGTCCCGTGAGCTCGCGGGGGCAGGGAACGGGCATCTCGCGGGGGTTGCCCAGCCGCCTTCTGGGAAATGTAGTCCGCGCGCGGCCGAGGCATGCCGGGAGTGGTAGTCCTGGGGCTCGCGCGGTTGCGGGAGCGCTCCCGGCCTTCTTGGGGCCGGTGGCGCGGGTCAGCCCGGCTGCGTTGGGGCGGCCTGCCTGGGGCGGAGACCTCCCGGGGGCCTCTTCCCAGCCGCGGTGGAGCCAGCGCCTGTCTCGGCTTGGGTGCGGAGCGCGGAGCCGCGCGGGGCCGCGCGCGGGCGCCGGGAGACGCGGCGCGGCCCGGGGGTCAGGGGCCGGTCCCCGCGGCCCGGGCGGCGGCGCGTTGCGGGCGTCGCAGGTCGGCGGGAGACGCGCGTGGAGGGAGCGCCCTGCCAGGTGAGCTGGGGCGTGCCCGGACTGCTGCGGGCGGGGGTCGGTGGGGGGCTGTCTGCTCGGAGGCTTCTCTGTGATGGGAAAACAATAGCTCGTGCCCGCCGAGCACTCGGTGTGCCGGGCAGTGGGCTACGCCTTGGATGCATGAACTCCTTTCATCCTTCGGGATTCATGCCCTGTAAGGTGGCTGCACACTGCCCCCATTTTACAGACGGAGAACTGGGGCAGAGCGGCCAGGTAATTTTTGCCACATTTAGCGAGGGCCCTGGACCGGAACAGGGATGCCGTTCCTGCCCGTTACTTCCCATTTTTGTTTCTTGGCAGGTCGGTCCGACTCCCTAAGTTCTCAGCCTCCCTTGCTCTGTAAAATGGGGTAGCAGTACTTTTTAGGGTCTTCGTGAGATTTAGAAACAATACATGCAAAGCATCCCCGATTCTGGTGTGGAGGAGCTGTGCATCACGGAGTGTCCATGGTTCCTCCTCCAGCAGCTTCCCCCACCTGGCTGAGGCGCCCCAGCCCCAGATGACACCCCACAGTCAGCTAGCCGAGCTCTCACGCCAGGTGCTGCTCCCCGAAGAGCCCTCGGCAAAGCCAGGTGGCCAGTGCTGGCAGCTGTGGCCGGGCCCCCCTCTGACACTGGGCTGGCTGCTCCAGGAGCCCTCCTCCCCTGTCCTCCCAGCTGCGGTTTGTGTGTGAGAAGGAGGGCTGTTTCCCGCATCCTGTGGGTGCTCTCAGAGGTGACCCCTGTGGGATGTGTGCTTGGGAGGGGCCGCCGAGCAGCAGTCTGGTGTGCATCTGTGCGAGAGGGAGTGTTTTAACCCCATTCCGTGGGTGTGGTAAGGTCTGGCCAGATGCGGGGGTGGGGGCTGGAGGAGGAGGAAGGTTTGCAGGCTGTGTTATATGGAGGACCCATGCAGCACTCCAGGCAGCGGCCGCCGCTCAGGGAAAGCACCTGGGTGGGTCATTAGGCAGAGAGACAAGGCAAATATGGGCAAGCGCCTTTAGTGTGATTTCTTCGGGAAGGGAAGGGCTAGGTGGGGCAGGCTGACTTAGGATTGGCTGCCTGTGTTGGACAGTGGCAGCTGGGGAAATTCATGTTCACTGTGGGTTTTACAGTGTGTACGGTTTAAAGCTTCCCTAAGGCCTCCAGGTATCTAGGGGTGAGTCGCAGTTTGTGGAGTCACAGCTAGTAGACCTTAGGTGACCTTACAGCAATTAGAACATCATTCATACAAGGAGACGGAGATGGGCGAATTGTCTTAGAGCTTCATTGGCTTGGTAAGTATGCATTTTATTTGGTCTGCGTGGTTTATGTGCTGTTGGTTCGTTGGGACCGGGTGGACATTATGGGTGGTTGGAACTTCCTCTCTCCAAGCCATCCCTTGACACCAGAGTTCCTCATGGCACCTTTTCCTCTCCAGACTTACCTTGTCAGCAGTCTGCACTCCCTTGCTAGGAAAACCGAGAAGGAAAGAATGGCCGTGGATTTGCTGCCCACTAAGGTGACAGTAAGTGAAGTTTGTCTTTTTCATAAGTTGCTTTTTGGGTTTAGAGATGGTGGATGTATTTCCATTCTTTGTCTGGGTAATTTTCTCTCCAAGAAAAACTGTGGGGAATCCAGAGCTTTGTAAGTTTTCCCCAGGATGCAGGGAGGGAGTGCTGAGGAATGTGCCTCCTCTGTTCCCAGGTTACTCTTAATTCACCCTAACCTGACTTTATGACCCAAGATTGAGTCAGCTCTGAATATATGCTTCTGGCTACAATAAATGCTTGGTGTGGGGTATCGGGTATTAGGTAGTCTTTGTCTTCACAGAGGATATAGTCTCGCTTGGGACAAAGACATGGAAGGAGCAAAGACACCCTCAGCGAACATTTATTGAGCACCGGCTATGCACAGGATGCTGTGCAAGAGCACCCGAGTTACAAAGAGGAAAGACGGTATTTCTATCTTTGGGGAGTTCATGGCACTGACCTTAGGAAATGATTCAACATCTAAGAAGAATAGGAAAAGATCCTACCAACAAATGGTTGTGGCGTCATTTCGAGCTGACACTGAAGGCCAGGGCTGCTGGTGGTGGGCATCCCAGAAGGAGTCCAGCTACGCTTGGGCCCTGAGGCCGGCACTGGGGAGGACAGAGGGCTGGGGGTTGCTGTGTCGAGCACAGCTCTGATGGCATACTGTCCACGTGTCCCCCTTCTGGACCCGACTGATGTCTTTGTCTCCTCTGATTCTTGTCTCCCTGTCCCCCCTCCTGGGCCCTTCTTGCTCTTTGCCCTTTTGACATCCATTTTCATTACCTTAACCTTCTCAAGATCTTTCGCATATCTCTGTCCTCAGGCTGGAGTTTTTACTAAAGACACAGTCTGTCATTCCCAAACTTTTAGGGAATATTTCCACATGGAGATCACAGCTTCCCCCCAACACCAGCTCCTGTTCCTTCCATGGATTTTCCATCCTGCCGTCCCCAAAGCCTCTGTTTTCATTGGCCGCTTTCCCCAAAAGTAGTGGTAGCCTACAGGTTATGAATGTGGACCCTGAGTTCCTAAGTTCACATCCAAGCTAGGGGTGTGACCTTGGCAAGTTATTTTCCATGTGCCTCATTTCCTCATTTGTAAATGGGATTAATAATGTGTACCTTGTTTGATTCGTTCAAGAGGATTCGTTCAAGAGGACTGTTAATTTTACATTTTTTTAAACTTTTTTTTACATTTTACAAGTGAGGAAGCTGAGGCACGGAGAAGCAAATAACTTGATGAAGGTCTCACGGCTAGCCTTGACCCCAGACAAGGTCGTCTATACAGTTAACGTTATGCTCCGAGAAAGTATATGTAAAATGCCGAGACCAGTGCATGTTAATGCTCAGTAAATACCGGCTCCTCCTACTGTTATTGTCATAAGCAGCTACAGCTTTGTTTTAGGACCTGCCAAATTTGGTATGCCTCTTGCCACTAGGCTAGACTTTGCTTTGATTCTCGAGTTACAAGGAGACGGGTGTTTCAGAAAACCAGAATGTAAAGAGCAGCGAACGCAGTGCAAAGCAATATCCAGCAATGAGCGGGCTGCCCTCTGCTGAAAGGGAGGGCTCTTCACTGTCTGAGCTCTCCCACACCCACGAGCTGGAGAGACAGTCTCGGTTGTAGCTAAGGGAAGCTGGAGAGGAGGGTCTTTGCAACCCAGAGTCAGTGGTTTTTTTTGACCACTAATTTACTGAAAACCAAAGATTTGAAAGCAGACAGAATAAAGACGCTATACAAAATACAGAGAATCAGCGTCTGAATGCCCATTGGCTTCTCATCCGAAATGACAGAACGACGTTTTATATGAAAGAAGGAAAGAAACTGTCAACCCAGAATTCTATAACCAACAAAAGTAGTCTTTGAGAATGAAGACAGAAGGAAGTTCTTCAGGCTGAAAGGAAATAATACCAGATGGGAATTCTCGTGTTGGCAAGCAAGTGAAGAGCATTAGAAATGGAGGCTATAAATATAAATATAGAAATACTTTTTCCTCTCAGTTTCTTTAAAATGTCCATGATTGTATAGAGCAAAAATATACTGAATGATGGAGTTTATAATGTAGGTGGATATAGTGCATATGACAGCCATGGATCTAGAGTTCATTTGTGTCTGGACTGGAAAAGCTCCATCTTTATCTCTGGGAATGCCCGGATGGCTGATTTTTGACCCCTGGGCACGATAAAGGCAGTGGATGTGCTGCTTAAGATCCCAGTGCCCCTGGCTACCCTCAGGGTCATCTTCTTCACTGACGGTTGGCAGCTGGCCTACATGATTTGACAAGCCTTGCTTGATACACAAAAGGCCCCTGCTCAGAGTATCCCCTGCGAACTCTTCTAAATCAAAATTCCTCATATAGTCCAAGGACACAGCCTCATCCGTGTGTGCAAATAAGGGGAGATTGCACATGGAACATCTCTTGGTCCTCCGGGGCCTCAGTGCACTCTCTGTCTTGTTGCATCGTACCCATTGCCTCCCGTGAGCACGCCTGGTGAGGTCTGGTGAGTCCTGTCAACTGTCTGAACTGGGAGCGTCTTTCTAACAAGGACAGCATGAGGAAGGGGTGGTAGACATTCCCATATACTCGCAGGTTCTTGCATTCTGTGTGAAATCGAGTGTTAGCTCTAACTACACCGTAAAGAACTAAGAATGTATATTACAATTCTCAGAGCAACCACTACGAATGCAAAGAGGTGGAGCTGAAAACTCAATACAGAAATGAAAATGGAATCGAAAACATTTCAAAACAAATGCACACACCCTGTTAAACAATGTAAGGGTACAAAGTAATAAAAGATTGCTTTTCTGCCCCTCCACAAACATGAAAGAATAATGAGGATGGACAGCTTGTTGTATTCTTCCAAATGTATCTGTATAGACAGGTAGATAGGTAAAGAATTTTTCAACAAATATGGATTGTTTTGCAGCTCGCTTTTTCATATGAATCAACAGTGTGTCAAGGCCAAATTCCAAGGTCAGCCATACAGATCTACCTCATTCTATTTAATGGTGTTATATATAAAACATTTCATGGAATCAGTGTCCTATACTTTGCTTACCCATTCCCCTGTTGATAGATTTGTAGGCGGTCTTCAACTTTTCACCATTGTATTATTAGTTTCCTATTGCTCTTGTAACAAATTGCCAGAAACACAGTGGCTTAAAACTACATAAATTTCTTCTCCTGCACTTCTGGAGGTCCAAAGGCTGAAATCGGTTTCACTGGCTTAAGGTCAAGTTCTTATCAGGGCTGGCTCTTTCTAGAAGCTCTCAGGGGAAATCTGTTTCCAGGCCTTGTTTGCACCTTCGGGTGGCAGCCTGCGTTCCTTGTCTTGGGGCCCTTTCAGCCATCTTCAAAGTGCATGACTTCAGTCTGTTTTCTGTCCTCATGTCACCACCTTGTCCTCTTCTGACTGTGACTCCTCTTGGGTCCTAACAGGGATCACTGTGATTACACTGGACCCACCTGGATAATAATCCAGGCTCTTCCCATCTCAAAATCCTTAAGGGGAAGCCTGGGTGGCGCAGTTGGTTAAGCATCCAACTCTTGATCTCAGCTCAGGTCGTGATCTCAGGGTCGTGAGTTTAAGCCCCACATTGGGCTCCATGCTAGGCTTGGAACCTACTTAAAAAAAAAAAAAAAAAAGATCTTCAGAGTCCTTTTTTTATTAAAAAAATTTTTTTTTAAGAAAAAAAACAAAGCATAAGCAGAGGGTGGGGCGGTGGATGGGCAGAGGGAGAGAGAGACTCTTAAGGAGACTCCCTGCTCAGCACAGAGCCCCGATGTGGGGCTTGATGTCAACGACCCTGAGATCATGACCTGGGCTGAGATCAAGAGTCAGACACTTAACCAACTGAGCCACTCAGGTGCCCCCAGAGTCCTTTTAGTCATATATATAGTGTTCACAGGTTCATGTGCCCCCCAGCCCCCCGGAGTGCAGCCCTGCACCCTGCCTGCCTTGCTCCTTCCTCTTCCCCCCGCCGCCTTTTCCCATCTCCCCACATCCCCCAGCCCCCTGACTACTCTCTGGCATTTGGGGTGGTCCTGCTCCTGGCTTCCTTCTCAGAGTGGCCAAGAGAGGGATCCGGGTGAGTGAGTTGCAGAGTTCAGCAGTATTGACAGCAGTTCACTATTCAATAAACATTGGATGAGCTTAAAAAAAAACAAAACAAAACAAAAACTCAACTGTCAGCTTATCAGTATTCCAGTGAACATCCTTGAACAAATATCCCTACCCAGTTGTGTGAGGATTTCTTGTAGTTAAATCCTAAAAGTAGAATCACAAGGTCAAAATGTATCATTTTTCGTGAGCTTCAGCTCTGTCATACAAGAGTTGCCATCTGGTCAACCTCTGCTCTCTCACAGTTCGGGGTTTAATGGGATTCTCTTGAAAGAACTTGCTTTTCCCACAGTTCCCGTTGACACCTGCATAGTCTTGCAGGTCCTTTGGATCTTTCTGTTTCCATAGACCATGGAAACCCATGTGACAGTATAGCTTAGAGATCTGTCTGCCTGAATTCAGTTCCAATCAGCACCAGTTTCTAACAGGGTTACCTTGGGAGGTGACATCACCTTTCTGAGCTGTTTCATCATCTGCAAAATGATTTACTTGTAGTATCTTCTTAATAGGATTTCTCTGAAACTCAGCGAAGATACTGTGTACAAAGCTCCCGTCATAGTCCCTAACATACAAGTATCCAATAAATATGAACTAATATTATTCTTATCATTTGCTTTACAGCTCAGAACTTCCTTTTTGTTTCTGTTCTGCTAATGGCATTTCCACAGTTTTCTGGCATTTGCTCTAAGTGTATTCTGATTTTTCCCCCCTTTCATTTAATTTGGATTTTGAATGAGAGGGAGGTGAATGTATGTGCTCAGTTACTCTGATAGGTCCCAGGCCGGGATTGAGATTCCCCGTTGGCAGGGACTTTGCCTTTTTCCCTGCTACCCTGCCAGCACGTGGCTCCCAGTGGGTTCTCCGTAGATATTTGTGACCTAGTTGCTGGGTGGTCCCCAAAGTAACATAAACAGTCGATGTGAAATACTTGGAATCCTGAGACATTTTCAGGATCGGTTGCTACACATCCCCGCGCCAGCCCCGCACATCCCGAGTGGTGGTGAAGCTGGTCCCACTGAGCAGGAGTGGGTTTCCCGTTGCAGGAGTCTGTGACATTCAGGGACGTGGCCGTGTTCTTCAGCCAGGATGAGTGGCTGCGCCTGGACTCCGCGCAGAGGACCCTGTACCGGGAGGTGATGCTGGAGAACTACAGCACCCTCGTCTCGCTGGGTAAGGACCTTTCCTCGTGATGGAGAGTCTGCCGGGGGAGCTGCCTCTTTGGGGTTCGGAGTCCACAGCTTCTCTCCTGCCGTGCCCCTGGGAAAGAATGAATCTCTGTGGAACGGAAAGTGTGTGTGTTGATGTCAGGCCACCCTTCACGCTGTGCTCTTCTCCTTCCTCTGCCTTCCTCCCACCTCCCCCTCTCCTGACCAGTGTCCTCCTCTTGCAATCCCTGGGTCTCTGTTTAGAGTCTGAGAAGCATACAGGACTGCCAGGGTAGAGGCATTCATAGCCAGGGCCCGCCTCGTTTCTGAGCCGAGCCCCGCCTCCGGATCCATCCCCTGAGAGCCCAGGCCCCTCGGAAGCCTCGGTGCTACCTGCCCTGCCTCCCCAGGCTACCCGCTCTGCACTGTGGGTTCTGCTTTGTGAACTCTGGAGTTGCCCTTCCTGCCCCCCGTTCAACCTGCGTTCCCTTCCTCACGAGCAGGGATTCCGTTCTCAAGGCCAAAAGTGATCTGCCAGTTGCAGGAAGGAGAAGATCCTTGCCTGGTGGATGGAGAACTCCCTCGGGACGCCTGTCTAGGTGAGTGAGTGGCTGGGAAATGGGCGCAGGGGGTTTTATACATGAGCCGGCCATGAGGAAGCAGTGCTGGGGGAACTTCCTGGAAACTGAGCCAGGGCCTCTTGACCAGAGGCTCCGTGATTGGAATGGTTTTCTTGGCATCAAGAAGGCCCTTATGTAGGCCTCTTTCTTCTCCTCCTTAACACTCCCTGCATCCTCTATGTCTTTTCCTTTCCTGAGGCTTCCCTTACTCCCTTCCGCCATCTTGGCCTCTTGGCCTTCATGGTTTTTCTTCCCATCTGCGTTACATGCTTTCATGCCCAACAGATTTTAAATACTTTACACCTTCTGTCTTGTTTTGAATTCTTTGTAATTTCTCTCACCAACCACATATTTCAGAGTGTTGTCAATGCTCCTGTGTCTCTGATTTCTTAACTCAACGTTTCCCTTTTATCTCCTTGGAGACTGGGCTGTCGCATCCCACTGTTAGAGTTGACCAGCTGTCCTTGACCACTGTAGCCTTTCCAGGCTGGGGGTTGGCACACTTTTCCTACAACGGGCCAGATGGTAAATAGTTTGGCTTGGGGACCATGGGGTCTCTACTGCAACCCTTTAACTCCCCGTTTGTAATGCAAATGCAGCCAGAAGCAGTGGGAGTGGCTAGGTGTGGCACCTTCCAGCAACAGAGCCGGAGTTGGCCTCGAGATCTCTGGTTTGCACACTTCTAGCCCCGGCTCACCTCCCTGGTCTTGATCCCAAAACCATAGGTCGCTGGAGTTGAAGGATCACTTGAAGACGGTCAGGTTTAGATACCTCTCTTTATATCAGAAGAAACAGCATAATCGGAGGATGTCAAACACTTTGCTCACGGCCAGAGAGCCGAAGAGCCGTGACAGAAACCTAGATCACCTCTGTCATTTCTGTTCACCGCGTGACATGGATTTGCAGTATTTTGCGTCTGTCTTTGTGGTTTGGCCTTTAATCTATGATTCTTGCCTTTATTGGCTTTTTTTCCACAAATACCTTTCACCTTTATTAAAATACATTTTTCTCCAAGAGGCTAGTGAGTAGTACAGGATAGCACTTAAGATCACGGTTTGAATTTAGACTTTCCTAAGCTCATGTTACACCTGCCACAGCTCGCAAGTGCTCTGTGCTATGGGAAAGTTACCCACCCTCTCTGAGCTTTGTTCTCCTCTCCCACCCTCTGCACCATCCACAGAGCAATCTTTTCGAAACTCAGGTGTATTAATCCTGTGCCTTAGGAGACTTTGTTGTTTCTCGGTTATCCATGGAGGCACGTCCCATTCCTTACTGTGACCTTAAATCTACTTCATAGCCTGTTTCCATGTTGCTTTACAGGAATCGGTGACCCCTTCCACACCAGCTCATGTTCCTGCCAAACCTGCACACTCATTAAGTTTGTCATTCCTTCTTGGATTACCACCTCTATCTTGTTCCCCCGGAAACCTTCTTACAGTGCAAGACCCACCTGTCAGCCTGACCTGTCAGTTTTCCTTATTTCTCCTACTTCCCAGTCACTGTTCATTTCTCAATCACTCGCATTCATATGGCACTTTCTCCATGCCTTGAACACATCCGTGACAGCATCTGTCGTAGTGAATTATAGTTACTTTGTTATTACTTATTTTCCTAACTGGATTGTATATATTTAAGGAAGAGACCAGGTCTCTCTTTGAATTCTGTACCTCTGGCATCAAATATCCTGCACTGAGCTAAGAGTGTTTGAATTTAATTGAGCTGCCTTTATGATGAACTCAGTGCTGATAGGCTCAAAATTAAGAATTCAGTGTAGCCTTGGGATGACCGGGTGGCTCAGTCGGTTAAGTGTCTGCCTTCGGCTCAGGTCAGGATCCCAGGGTCCTGGGATTGAGTCCCACATGGGGCTCCCTGCTCGGTGGGGATTCTGCTTCTCCCTCTTCCTCTGCCTGCCGCTCCCCCTGCTTGTGCTCCCTCTCTCTCTGTATCAAATAATAAACAAAATCTTAAAAAAAAAAAAAAGACCACGGCAGCTGCATCACTGCTCGGCTTCGACTCTGTCCTCGCGCTGGTCCAAGCTGCCCACTTAACTAAATATGACCGCTTCATCTTATTATTACCTGCTGAAGAGCGTTCAATACCTGTATTTATTCTTTGAGTTCCTCGGCCTGTTGTTCAGGAACTCTGTGCTCGGCCTCATCCTGTTGAATCAAAATTTTAATGAATTCCAACCTGGATTTCCTTCTTTTCTTTTCTTTTTTTTTTTTAAGATTTTATTTATTTATTTGACAGAGAGACAGTGAAAGAGGGAACACAAGCAGGGGGAATGGGAGAAGAAGCAGGCTTCCCGCGGAGCAGGGAGCCTGATGTGGGGCTCGATCCCAGGACCCTGGGATCATGACCTGAGCCGAAGGCAGACGCTTAATGACTGAGCCACCCAGGAGCTCCTAGATTTCCTTCTTTAGTCAATAAGCCTCTCCTAAGTAGGTTTACTTTCCCGCCCCAGATGACTTTGCTCAGGCCTCCTGACTCCCAGGGTCCTCTTTTCTTGTTCTGCTGAAACCCATCCCCTCTTTACTATCCAACTTCCTTCATAAAACCACTCCCTGCTAATACTGTCAATGTTGGTATCTTGGTTCTCTGATCCTCAGACCTGAATTTTACACTCGAGGCTTCTCATGTCAAGGGGAAACATGCTATTCCTGTCTAGTCATTTGTTTGTTTCATGTTATCCTTGCTGATTATTCACTATTTGTTCAATAAATGCCTGATTGGGTTTCAGGAATCCAGCATGAGAGGAGAGAATCTCTTTTCATTTTTGAGGTCACCTGCCCTTCATAATTTTTCCAACTTACTCTGCCCGTTCATTCATTATCTTTTTAATGTAATTAATGTATTAATGTACATGCATTAATGTAATTGTGTACTTGTGTGCACAGTAGGGGATTAACAAAAAACTGTAAGACATATCCACTGTTCTCCTTGAACAAATACTTGAATTATTTTCAGGTTTCATATACATATATATTAGTTAAATGATAGAATATATAAGTAAAACATGTTGTGAAATCCTAAGAAAGAGATGGCTAATTTAGGCTTTACTAGATAAATTTCTTTAGAAAAATGAGATTAGAGTAGCCTGGTAAGTTTCTGGATGGGCAGGGAATGCCGTATTGTGGCAAAGGATGAAAAGACAGAAGGTACCCTGGTTGATTCCTTAAAATCCAAACTGCTGGGTTTCCCATTAACATCATGAAGAAAAATCTGTATTTTTATATAGATTTATAGCCTGTATGTCTTCTTCCTCTTACTATTTGATTTTTTTTTTTAAGATTTTATTTATTTATTTGACAGAGCTAGAGACAGCAAGAGAGGGAACACAAGCAGGGGGAGTGGGAGAGGGAGAAGCAGGCTTTCCGCTGAGCAGGGAGCCCGATGTGGGGCTCCATCCCAGGACCCTGGGATCATGACCTGAGCTGAAGGCAGACACTTAATGACTGAGCCACCCAGGTGCCCCACAAAGACCTAGTTTTAATCTATTTTCAATCATGGATTGATTAAAGAGAGCCAGATTTTAACCCACAGTTCCTTAGAATCAGTTCAAGCTAAACCCTTTCACTTACCATCAGATCTGAGCTTGGGGCTTGGGGCATACTGACTCCACATTTCTTGCAGACTTTCATTAGTCTAAAAAGATTCCTACAAAGGAGGTTAATCTTCTGGGTGCAGCTTACTAGAAGAGACAAATATATCTGTTTCTCCTTGGGATCAAATAGGAAGGAGAAAAGCGATGACAGGGTGGTATGAAGAACTCTTATTCCTTCAATTACCAGGGATAGATTGTTGCACATGACCGATTGATTCCGTATTTTCCTCCTCTTTATAGTCAGCATCTTGAATTTAGATCAGATATCCTCAACACAGTCCTGCTTCAGGGCCACCGTAAGTTTTAAAAGCTGAACGTCCTCTTTTCACAGACTGTGATATGAAGTCAGATTCACATACAGATTCACAAAACTTAAGGAAAACATTGCAGAGATTTTTACATTAATGTGTATAGACTTACAGCAAGAGCATGGGGAAAAACCTAATAAAAGCCACATGTGAATAGAAAGGAGAAAACGGGTGCCTGGCTGGCTCTGTCGGTGGAGCGTGCGACTTTAGATCTCGGGGTTGTGATTTTGAGCCCCACATTGGGTGTAGACATTACTAAAAAAAAATAAGTAAGTAAACTTTAAAGAAAAAAAAAGGAGAAAATAAAGACAAGTTACCTGCTTCATTGCTCCTTATACAGAGTAGAAAATGATTAACTGAAGTATCCAACTGGAGCTTACGAGCTGACATTTTTCTGTAGCCTCATCCCTTCTGCTCAACCAGTTCTTGCCTCTGTGTTTACTTCTCTCAAGTTGCAATGTCTTTGTTTCCAGCATTGATTTGTCCACTGTACTCTCCCACACTACTCCTTCCCCTCTTCACCTCTCTTTCCATCCCATTCTTTTTTTCCCCAGATGCAAGACCATATTTGAGATCAAAAAAGGTTTCAGAGCTCTTTTATATGGACTACTGCCAGTTTTATGGTTCTACTGATGCATGTCTATCTTTCCCAGTAGAGGTGCCATCGTTCATGCTTCTGACTCATTCCAGGTCTCAAGACTCGGCTCGAAATGGAAGCCTTGCCTCCCAGGCAGGGCATTTCTGGAGAAGAAACATCTCAGGGAATAATAAAGAAAAGATCCATTAAGTGTGGTCGCTGGGACACCAATTTTGGAGAAACTTTGGGATTTGAGAGCAGGACAGAACAGGAGCAACAAAAGAAACCTCTTAGGCAAATGGTGGCCTCCCACAGAAAAACCATGAGTGGAGATGTAAAGGAGACAAGTCTTGAATTGGGGAAAGGCTTACTTATAAATACAATTCTTGTTACACAGCAGAGTGTTCCTATAGAAAGGATACCCAATATATATTACACCTTTGGGAAAGATTTTAAACAGAATTTTGACCTAATCAGATGCTTCCAGATTTACCCAGGAGAAAAACCTCATATTTGTCACAAATGTGGGAAAAGCTTTGCCCAGAGTCTCCATCTGATTGAACACCAGAGGATTCATACTGGCGAGAAACCCTACAGATGTGATGAATGTGGGAAAACCTTTAGCCACAGATCATCCCTTCTTGCCCATCAGAGAATCCATACAGGAGAGAAACCTTACAAATGTAATGAATGTGAGAAAGCGTTCAGCAGCAGTTCGACCCTGATCAAGCATCTGAGGGTGCACACCGGAGAGAAACCCTATCGCTGCAAGGAATGTGGGAAAGCCTTCAGCCAGTGTTCAACCCTCACCGTACATCAGAGAATTCATACCGGTGAGAAACTCTATAAATGTGCTGAATGCGAGAAGGCCTTCAATTGTAGAGCAAAACTTCATAGACACCAAAGAATCCACACAGGGGAGAAACCCTATAAATGCAGTGAGTGTGGGAAAGGTTACAGCCAGTTTGGATCCCTGGCTGAGCACCAGAGGTTTCATACTGGGGAGCAGCTGTGTAAGTGCTTGGAATGTGGGAGGACCTTCACACGCATCTCAACCCTTCTCGAACACCAGCGAATTCATACCGGCCAGAAACCCTATCAATGTAATGAGTGTGGGAAAACCTTCAACCAGTGTTCCTCCTTCAACGAACATCGTAAAATTCACACCGGGGAAAAGCTCTATACCTGTGGAGAATGTGGGAAAGCCTTTGGCTGCAAATCCAACCTGTTCAGGCACCAAAGAATTCACACCGGAGAGAAGCCCTACCAATGTAATGAGTGTGGGAAGGCCTTCAGCCAGTATTCTTTCCTCACCGAACACGAGAGAATCCACACCGGCGAGAAACTCTACAAGTGTATGGAGTGTGGGAAGGCCTACAGTTACAGATCAAACCTGTGCAGACACAAAAAAGTTCACACGAAGGAAAAACTCTGTAAATGGAAGGAATATGGGAAGCCTTTTATCTACAGCTCCTCCCTTACTCAGTATCAGAGATTTCTTAGAGCAGATAAGCCCGGTGAAGTTTAATTCTTCTCTCAAATAATTCAAGACTCCTCATTAGAGAATAATAAATAGGGCACAGACTCTGGATTAGATTAAGTGGTTTTTTTTTTTTTTTGCTTCTGGAGAAAATACGATAGTTCCCACTAAGTCATGGTGAAATTGATCAGTGGGATTATGAAGAGTACCAATTTGTCAAATTTTCTAAGAACCATTAAATGCTAATAAGGTTTCTAAGAACATAGAAAAAATTTTTAATTTGTAGAAAAAATATAAAAGGCCTAACTTAAAAAAAAAATGAAAATAATGGTGTATACATTTTGTTTCATTAGAGTTTACTCCCTTTCTAAGAGCACGCTTTGATATGAATTCTCCTTTAAATTAGTCATTGAGTTAATGTGAATAAGCATGAGGCCGTATTTGCTAAAATGGCAAGCAAGCATAGGACACGCTCTTTTCCGTAAAGAGAAACTCAAGGTAAAAAGGAATTCTTTAAATTCAAATTTTCACGTGGAAATAATGAAGCTCACTTTTCATGAACTGCCTCAGCGGCAGGTTGTATATATAAATATACGTATGTGGACATAGGACATACAGACATACACACGTAGCTTTAGAATATATGTATATTTTTTCCAAAAGTCTCTGGTGATTAAAAAATTAATTTACAATTTCGTTTTGGAAATGAAAATTTTGCCCAGATGGAATCTCTTTTCCTTTTCCTTATATTATTTCTTAATTTGATATGATTTGACACTACTGAATAGAGTCTTAGGATAGTATTATAGAAGGTGCAGTGAACTAAAACAAGGGAGACTGTCAACGCAAATACTCTCTTACCTGTTGCAGAAGGTATGTATTTGCAGAATCTGACTATATACCTGGTAGCTTATTAGAGCCAGGAGGAATTTTCATTTAGTTTATTTATAGCCTTTCATTTTACTAACAAAATTGAGCTTCTTGGGCAGAGTCAAGGCTAGAATCTAAGTTTTCAGCTCTGGTTTTCTAGGGTAATTATAGATATGAATTATAATCATTGGCTTCCAACCTCAAGTGCTAAGAGTACTAGGCACTGTTTATTTTGTAAACTGGTTATAGGCGCAATTGCGGTAATTTAATCAGTTTTATTTCTGTGTTTACCAGGTTCCCCCTAACTGCAATCTTACAGTCTCGTTCTTTCTTTTTCTTCTGTGTCCCTAATTATACCTGCTTTTATAATAACTGTACATAAATTCTCAGACTCAGTTTAGGTCCAGATGGTGAAATTGCTTTTGGGGTTTTCACATACAAGATTGCCTTTTTGTTTTTGTTATTCATCTTTTAGGAATTCTTTTGTGTAAAGTGATATGTGAATATTTTATTAATAAACATTCTAGTCATCAGTTAAAATTGGCTTTCCAAACATTTTCCATATTTTTAACATACATTGCATTTTCCCCTGGGCCTACGTCCCACAATTTTATATCTCACTTTCACAATTGGTATGATTTAAAAAAGTATTCTAATAAAAGTAGCTAGAACCTTCTGTCTGAGAAAGGTTTTAGAATTAAATGCAGGCATTCAGCATAGCATGTTTCTTGACTTGCCTTAGCTCATTTGAAAACATCTTTTTATATATGTAAGTATATTTACAAGGAAATGAGCTTTTAAAAAGACTTCAGTGTTTAATACTGGACAGAGCCATTAGCAAGATATTCTAGAGAAAAACATATTTGGTTATCCAATAGCAATGAGCATGCTTAGTACCCAGATCTTGGTTTCCAAATGCTATTCCCCACTAAAAGGAGCCTGGGCTCATTGGAGAAATGCTGATTCCATTTCTGGAGCAGGGAAAGTAGAAGATGTGTCTGAGGTATCTTTTTATGAAACAAAACAAAGATAGCACTTCAAGACTAAGCACTCAACGGATAATGTCAGAAGGACACAGGAGCCATCTTAAAAGTGCTCTCACTGGTCAAATTTAAGATAATTTAAACATCAAAAATAACAGTCAATGAAATTGGTTATAACATGCTAAGTAAAAATGAGCCCATAATGAAAAAATGGTGGGAAAAAAAAGGAAAGCTCTCTATAAACTAATCTGAAGAATGCCATCTTTTAACTGTATATGGAATGACAGATTTAGAAAAATCACTATTTTATAACAATGTGATTAAACTAGGCAAATTGAATGGATGATAAACCCATTAGGTGAAAAAAATTTTAAGGAATATTATATGGTGTCAAAGTTCACAAATACCAATTGCAAAGAAATGATACACCTTTCTAACGGAGAGATCTGGCTGTCAAACTGAATTTCACTACTGGTGGGAGAGCCTGACGTTGTGTGGCTCCTGATGAGATGCAGGATGAGACACATGTGACCATCCAGGACGTATTCTTGCCAAGAGTGTTTAATGAAAATCTAATTAAACCTCTCATCCAGGTTTATGCTCCTATTTATAAGAAAGACAAGAGAGCAACAAGTCGAATTCCATGGTGAGGAAATAGACAAACCTAGAGTTTGAGACTTTGTACAAGACAACTGGTCTGGATTTTTCAAGAAGCCAACATCGTAGAACAAAAAGGAGACTTCTAGATTAAGGCACCCAAGAGTCATAAGCAAGTTGTGATCCTTAGTTGGCTTCTGATTCAGAAAAATTAGAGCAACTATAAAAGACATTTGGGAGGGGGTACTTGGGGAAGTATGAGGATGGAATGGGTTTTAGATAATGTCATATGTTTAGTTTTCCTAGAAGTGATGGTGGTATTGAGGTATTTAGAATGATGTCCTTATTCTTAGAAGATGCATGTAAAAGTTTTCAAGTTTAAAAAGTCATGGTGTCTGCAGAACATTTTCAGGTAGGTATGTAAAAAATTAGTCAACTGTTGTGAAAAATTAGTCAACTTTGTGGAGGATATAGAGATGTTCATTGGTCATCTTTACATTTTTCTGTATGTTTATAATTTTAATAAAAATTTGAGGCAAAAAGTGATTGCATAATGTGATGAAGCTTCCAGTCAGAATTTTTCCTTTAGGGGCACCTGGGTGGCTCAGTCGTTAAGTGTCTGCCTTCGGCTCAGGTCATGATTCCAGGGTCCTGGGATCGAGCTCCGTGTCAGGCTCCCTGCTCCGCGGGAAGCCTGCTTCTCCCTCTCCCACTCCCCCTGCTTGTGTTCCTTCTCTCACTGTGTCTCTCTCTGTCAAATAAATAAATAAAATCTTTTAAAAATAAATAAAAATTTAAAAAAGAATTTTTCCTTTGTACTCACATAAATTTCCTGTTTGAGAGTTTATCTCCTGGGGATGTAATCATTGGAAATAAAATAACTTTTGGTTCATTCTTGTTCCACTTTATTTTTCAATGTGGGGCTTGAACTCACGACCCCAAGATCAAGACCTCAACTGAGATCAAGAGTTGGATGCTTAACCGACTGAGTTAAACTTCTTGTTCCAGTTTAAATGGAGTATGCACCTGCCACCTTGTCTCTCCCACCAAATATAAATAAAAACCCTAGAGAGAATGCATGGAGCAGCCATCTGAGAACCCTGACTAGTATGGTAGAAGACAGACTTAAGAAGGAAACCAGAATTTGAAGTAAGACCACTCTGGTACTCCCAGACATTCCTGTGATAAGGACAGTGGTGGTTAGGCATCTAAACCTTTGAGGGAGGGGAACCCTTATCTCTGTTCAGAGGCACTACTTTCCTGCTACTTGGACCTGGAGGTAAATATATCCATGAGTTGAGAGCAGAGAGAACCCAAAGCCTTGGATTTTTAACCGGAAGACCAGGAAAAAGAAGTAGCTCCTGGGAGCTGGAATGTATCAGGTGGTGAGAGAAGAAACCCAGGGTAGTCTCCTAGAGTTGCATATGGAAGCCTAGACTCAGCCCTGATCTGGACCCAGAGTCTCATAATACTCAAAATGTCCAGGATATAATGCAGAATTGCACAAAATATAAAAATCAGAAAAATTCCAACATTCTTAGGAAAAAGACAACAGACACTATCCCAAGATAACATAGATGTTGGAATTATAAAGTAGGTATTACAATAGTATTTCAAAAAGCATGACCATTCTTGAGTGGAAACATCAAAATTCTCAGGAGGAAAATAGATAATGTTTAAAAAGGAACCAAGTGGGTATTTTAGAATTGAAAAATAAAATAACAAAATTTACCAAAAAATATTGGAAGAACTCAGTAGCAGAATAGAGATGACAGAGAAAAGAGTGAACTTGTAGAATCACATGAATTATCCAAACTGAACAAGAAAGAGAAAAAAATACACAATCATATCAACTGATTGGGGGTGGATAACAAAATTAAATATCCATTTATGATAAAAACTCAGAAAACTAGAAATAAGGGAGAAATCAACTAGTAAAGGGCATCTACCAAAACCCCACAACTAACATCATGCTTAATGGTAATAAACTGAGTGATAGTAAGATCAGCAACAAGTCCATGTGTCCACTCAGACACTCCTGTTCAACTTTGTACTGGAAATCCTTGCCAGCACAATCAGGCAAGAAAAAGGAATGAAAGGCATTTGGTTTAGAAAGGAAGAAATAAAATGTCTTTGTTCAGATGATGCAATTGTCCACTTAGAAAATCCCAGGGAATCAACAAAGATGCTCTTAGAACACTAAGAATTAAACTAGGAGTTTAACAAGGTCACAAGAAACTAGGTTAACACACAAAAATTAATTTCTGTATCTATGTAGTAGTGATGAACAATTAGAAAATAAATTTCAACAAGCTACTCCATTTGCAATAACTCCAGAAGGAAAAAAGAGAAAATTTGGCAAACATGTGGCATCTCTGTGTTGAAAACTATGAAATGTTGAGTAACGTCCAAGAAGGCCTAAATAAATGGAGAGATGCGCCATGTTTACAGATGGGAAGACGTCGTATAGTTGTCAATTCTCATCAGTTTATCTATAGATTTAACACAATTCCAGTAAAAATTTCAGTAGGGATTTCTGTAGACACAGTCAACTTACTGTAAAATTTATGTAGAAAGGCAAAAGAAGTAGAGTCACCAACGCAATTTTGAAAAAGCAGAGTAAAATCAAAGGACTCAAAATAATTGACTTCAACTCTTATTACACCCAGATGAGCTGACAGCACATTCTCTTTCATACCACTGAAATACCCTAAACCAATGAAAACTGCCTCAACTGTCTATGTTTCTAGTGAGTGAGTGTCATTATTCTACCAAGAAGTTCCCACGTTGGGTCCCTAGCAGTTAGTTACTTAAGGCCAGAAGGTGTCTCACTTGTAACGATCCGTATCCAGGGTCCTCTGGTGGACCAGTTCTGCAGTTCTGTATCCCCGTTCTTGCTCTTCCCTCTTTTAGGAAGGATACAGAGGGCTGTGGCTGAATAAGCAAGAATAAACCTTTTCGGAATGAATGCAGGGCAAAAACAAGCCTTTCCCCCAACCCTATAATTAGCAGCTAGGAAGGCCTGGTGTCAAAGATGAGAAGATTTGTGTGATGTTCACCAAAAGGGGCTGCTGGTGCCTGCTTCTGTTCTGTCTTGTTGGGAGAATAGCTTGTGAATCGATCAGAGTGCTTCACACGTTTTTTTTGTGACCCTGTTTGCTTTGGTAGCTTTGTATTGCTCTCTGTTGCTCCACCCAATTCCTTAGTTCTTTCCTTCTTCAACCACAGAATCACATTTCCCACACCGAATGGACAGAAATTTTAAAGGCTTTCTTTGTCAAATATAATATTCAACAAAAGTCCCTGGTGTTGAAGGAGCTAAAACTGGAAATAGATCCTGAAAACCGAGACTGGCATAAAAGTTGAACTACCTTAGAAGTGCAGGAGAAACCATGTTCATCTTAGAAAAAGCCACTCCTTCTGGAAAGGAAGTTGGTTTCTTAGGGTCAGCACCACATTGCCCCTACAGGACAGAGGCAAGCTGCCCAAGTTACAACCGGTGGAGAGGTGAAAGCAAGCATGATAAAACCCAGGGAAGAATCTGCTCTCAGAGGAAAAGAAAGGCAGCCTCCCCTGTACCCGTCCTGGGTCTGGGATCCCAGCACAGCAGAAAGTATAGGGTGACAGGCTGTCCCAAGCAGAGCAGCTGTGTCTTCATCCTGAGCTCTACCCCTGTGAAATACCCTCCTCTTGCTCTGGAACATGGTTGGCTCTGCAGCTGAGGCTCCAAAACAGTAGCTGTGAGAGCTGCGCTATAAGGAGCTACACTTACATCGTCGCAAGAATTTATGGTGGGTTGTATTGAAATGGGTTGTTTCTGAAATGGTCATGAGACATTTATTTCAATAATGACTTAAAAGTTATGCATTAATTTGAGCCCTATAGAATGTCTCTATAGTCTGCAAATTTGGAGGGGTAGATAGTAAACATTTTAGGCTTTGTGGACCAAGAGGCAAGATCAAGGATGTTATGTAGGCAAGAAAGAAATTTCCATACATTTTTAACGATGAAAATCAAAATACAACAATTGAGTAATTCTTTTTTTTTTTTTTTTTTTTTTTTTTGTAGTACAGGCCTACTACTGAGACTAGAAATCTTTTCTGGGGGTAGGGGGATAACTATTTTGTTTAAAGTTAGTATTCCCTATCCTTAAAATGGACCTTACCAACATAATCCAATGGGAACAAATCATCTTTCAACAATTGATGCTGGGACACTTAGATGCAAAAGAATAAAGTTGGACCCCTACCCCACCATATAGAAAAATAAACTCAAAGTGGATTAAAGACATAAGGCAAGAACTAAAATGATAAAATTCTTAGAAGAAAATTTAGGCATAAGTCTTTGTGACCTTGGATAGGCAATGATTTCATAGATATGACACCAAAATAACAAACAAGAAAAGAAAAATATGTATAAATTGGACATCATCAAAATTAAAAACTTTTGTGGACCAAAGGCCACCATCCAGAAAGTAAAAAGACAATCCACAGAATGGGAGAGAAATCTTGCAAATCATATATCTGATAATGTACTATCTAGAACACATAAAGAACTACTAACTACTCAATAATAAAAAGACAAACCAAAAAAAAAAAGTGGGCAAAGTATCTGAACAGACATTTCTCCCAAGAAGATACACAGATGGCAAAAGAAACACATGAAAAGATACTCATCCTCATTAACCATCAAAGAAATGTAAATCAAAACCATAAGGAGATACCACTTCGCACCCATTAAGATGGCTAGAATAAAAAAGAGATTAAAAATGTTGACAAGGATGTAGGAAAATTGGAACCCTCATACACTACTAGTGGGAGTACAAAATAGCCCAGCCTCTTTGGAAAATAATCTGGCATTTACTAAAAAGGTTAAGTATAGAGTTCCTCTATGACTCAGCAATGCCATTCCCAAGTATATACCCAGGAGAAATAAAAACACACATCTATATAATAACTTGTACACAAAATGTTTATAGCATTATGCACAATAGTCAAAAGTGGAAACAAACCAGTGGTCATCAACTGACAAATGGCTAAATACGTGTAGTAGTGTCAGACAATGGAATACAATCTGGTAATGAAAAGAAATGAAACACTGAGAAATACCACTACATGGACGGATCTTGAAAGCATTGTGCTAAGTAAGGAAGCTGGGCGCAAAAGACCACAGACCACGTAGTTCTGTTTATATGTAATGTTCAGAATCGGGCTTGGAGGGTTGGGGCAAGTGGGACTTCTGGCTATGGAGTTTCTTCTTGGGTGATGAAGATGTTCTAAAATGGATTGTGCTAATGGCTGTGCAACTGTAAATATAAAAAAGCATCAGGTTGGACACTTTAAATGGGTGAAGTGTATGGTGTGTGAATTCTATCTCAACAAAGTCACAAAAAATCTGCCAATGCTTATCTGTTAATAATAAGACAGATCTGCTGATCTGTAATGACATTTTGAATATTTCATCTTTGAAAATGTGCTTTCACACGGATAGGCATTGTTAAATTCTGATACTAGTTTTTGAGCATATGAGCAGAATTGAGCATACTCACTGCTTGCAAGTCATTTATAGAATTTCATCAGATTATTCTGGGGCGCCTGGGTGGCTCAGTTGGTTTAGCATCCAACTCCTGATTTTGGCTCAGTTCATGATCTCAGGGTCATGAGATCGAGCCCCACATAGGGCTCTGCACTGGGCGTGGAGTCTGCTTAAGATTCTCTCTCTCCCTCTCCTTCTGCCCCCCTCAACTCTCTCTCTCTCAAAAAAAAAAAATTTCATTATATTGTTCTTTTGATATTTTCCCATTAG